AAAGTAAAGTAGTCACAGATGGAATTTAGCTTGATAATAGGTAAAGGTTAGGATTGGATTCTAAAAATGTTTTAGGGCGGTTGACTAGTTTTTGTGCAGCAAGAATGGCGAGAAACAGAGTTGTAAATCTACTGTAACAGTTTTGTGTTGTCAAATTCCTATCCATGACTCACTCTGTTGCTCTGCACCATCCACATTATAGGCCAACTTGGTGGTTCTGTGCCTTCCCTTACTCCCTCCTCATCTTCCTGTATGATGAAGCTAGAAGATATATCCTCAGAAGAAACCCAGGAGGTAAGACTCGCTGACGTCTGACTGTTCTAGTGTTGCAGTTGTGGAGATATGGTGTTACTTTTGGTGCTGGTGCAGAACCTGGTGGTGGGTGGATGAGAAAGGAACGTGGGCAGAAGGGAATGTTATCCTCACTCCATCTCCATGTACTGTACTGTATGTACAACACAGAGACTGGAGGCTGTGTTTTACTGAATGAACTCGGTACATATACAGTGTGTGGGTGGGTGTGAGTGTGTTTCTGTTTGGGTTACAGTATGGTTGAACCTTTATAAAAAATATGGATACCTTTGCCTAGACCAACCTACTTTGTCCAGTTTCTGTCCATGTAACTATTTCTTGGATTAAATGACCTGGATGACTGAGAACCTAGACTATATGAGACATATGGATACCTTTATTTTCCAAATTTATTTTAAAAATGTTTATTACATATTATATGGTATAATATGTAATATGTATATAATATTATATGATAAACTGCACATTCTGTTTTAGAAAACCTATAACTTGCAATTAGGTGGACCTTAGAATTATTATTATACGCAATCAGAGACAATGATGCCTCCACAGTCCTAGGAAAAACTGGAATTTAGAACACTGCAAAGTGAAATACAAACAGAGGAAAGGCAGTGGTGCCTCTCTACTAGAAAAAAGTAAAATTGTGGTACTCTGAACACAACTGAATCATTTCCTAATGCACGTGTGTTGCACTTCACCCTTCAGCCACTCGAGGGCAGTGTTCTTCTGTTGTCAAAATTTAATTGGCTAATTTGTAGGGGTTTTTTTTAGAGGCAAATCAAAGTATTTTTTGTGCCTTTAATGAAGTCAATAGATTTTGGTCACTACCAACTTTTAATGGAGTGAATGGAATCAAAGAGTAAAGCCAAGGGGGAGACCTCAGTGGTGAAACCAGTCAAATAAACCACTGAACTTCCTCCATTGCTGTCCTTTTTCCATTGTCAATTTGTATGTAAAAAATAAAAAAACAAGATTAACTGGGTCATTTTTTAACAACTGAACAGAACCAACTTGGGGGGAAGCCTTGAGATGTTGTTTGGTGATAAACCATGAAAAAACATAAAGAACAATATCTCACAGCAGCGTGTCCTAATTCTGTCTCTGTCTGTTTTTTTAGGTTGGGTGGAACAGGAGACGTACTACTGAGTCACCACAGGGGGAGCAGTCATTGTTTCATCCTCTTTTGCTGCCGTGTTACATTCCAGTCTGACGTTCTGTGGTCGGACCCTGAGAACACAAAAACAACACAGTCATAAATTAATTCCTATCTTAATGTATTTGCATTTGCAATAAAACATTTCTGTGCCCTTGTAGACTCGCGTTGCCTTTTTTTTTTTTTTACTTGCAGATTTCTCTGCTCGTTCAGCAGTCAAACAGCAGCACCTGATGCAGATTGTTGTTCCTGAGGCTCAGTAGAAACTGGAAACACCAGTGACTCAGAACCGCTGACCCGTAAAGTGTTTTTGGAACTTTGACTCAGGCGTCCTTTACATCATCATGGTCTGAACAAACAGACCACGACAGCAAAACTCACCCCTTCAACTTGTTTTTTCTAACACATTTTCACTATTTACCATAAGTCTGTGTGAGAAGGTGTGTGTGTGTGTGTCCATCTCTTGGAGAGCAGGTTTGCCATACTGCTGTTTGTCCACCACTACTGCCGAGAGGCTCTCAGTGAAAATGAACCCAGTCCACTCCAGTGCTATCTCCTTGTGTTTACCCTAGTCATTATGATCTCCCCCCTTCGTACTGACCCCTTTTCTGAGTGTTTGTGTGTATGTGTGTGTGTGATCTATCACCCCTGCTTCACGCACACACCTGCCTAAGGCCAATTAAGTTGTAGTTTCCCTTTAAATCTAGAAATTTAGCTGACAGCTTTTTAATCATTTTGAAAAAAATATCTTCTTCTGATATATCTTCTTCTTCACTGTCCACTGAAAACAATTTGATTACATCCAAGACAAAAAAATGAGACCTGGAAAAGAAATGTTTTTTCTTGGTGTACACACACACACACACACACACATGCACCAGGACCTAATTAATCCTCTCAGCGTGGGTTGTGGATGCAGTAAGTGTTTCTTTCTTGTGAATTGTAAAAGCCGATAAAGCAATTGAGGTAATATGGAGTGAGATGAGAAAGAGAGAGAGAGAGAGACCAAGAGAAGGAGAGAGATGTTATCATTCCTCGTTCACTAGCGCAGGGGCCCCTGAACGTGCCAGTTGCTATGACAACTCATTTAAAGAGTGCCCCACACTTCGCACCCCCCTTTCTCTTTCTTTTTCTCTCTCGCTCTCTTTCTCTCTCACTAACATCTAAATAAAATCCAGTCTATTTATAGGACAACTCTGCCAGTCACACTGATCGCTCTCGCCAAAGGCAGAAAATAGAGTTTGGTGACTGTACGTGTACAGTACAAGATGGCCACATCATGCATGTCCATCCCTGCGTCTGCTCCAACTGTGATCTGGTTCATTTGGGACCAGTTGTCCTAAATACTCTCAGCCTGCTTTACTTTCAATTCTTCAGATGCTGATTTTACTGATGCAAATATCCAGTCAGCCAATCACAGGAGAGGATGATTTATGAGGCTCTGAAGTGGATGTGGTTGTTGGTGCCAGACCGGCCGGTCTGAATTATTTAAAATAAACCACAGATCCACTTTTTTTTCCTTGCTCTGAATCTTCTTTAGAGTTTCTACAAAATGAGCACAAAAACCCTGTGTGCAGCAGCTCTTTGGCTGGAGGAGGAAGGACCATCTATGGACACATGTCCAATCATGCAATGACCCCTGCATCCCCATCATCCTCCACCACCAAGACTTCAACACATGCCCTTTACTTCACACCACAAAACTTCCTTTTGAATCTGCACCACAGATTTCTGTTCCATAGAAGGACTTCATATACTTTGTTTCATATAAATGCGTCCTTCCAACCACGGTCTGCAGTAGAGCATCTCTAATCGTTCTACTGGGATACTCTGAGGCCGTGTGTGGTGGTTTTTGTTTTTTTGCTCATATGTTCAGAGTTTTGTGCAAACATCAGGAAAGCACTGATTGTTCTGTCAACATTTTGGTCTTGATGTGATGTTTTTCTCTTCGTCTCTGTATAAGAAGCTCCCTTTGGATGTAGCCACTGTGAGTGGTCGTCATGTCTCTGTGGGCCAGAATCTTTCAAGCATCTTGTCCCATCAATAACTCAGAGAATTAGGATGGAGCTGAAGAAAAAAGAGGGTGGGGTGGGGGGGGGGGGGGGGGGGGTGATGTGCTTCGAGGATGTACCTAGCCAGGTGTCCAGAAGAGAGGGAAGAAAAGGGCAAGTGTGTGTGTAGAAATCTTAAAGCTAATCTCCTCATCCCTGCAGTTTCATAGTGAAATCTACCTGTGACTGTCTTATTTATCTGAGCTTCATCTTGTCAGCTGGTGCAGATCCCTCTTTGGGTGGCCTGATAAGGTCTATTAAGGATACACAGGGTGCTCGTCCATCTGCCTGCCTGGACCAACTTCATGCTTGGAGAGGTGGCTTAGTATAATGTGATGATACAGCGTAGACTGCATCTTTCATCACACATTATTGGTTTATATAAATAAGTCTGTATGCATGATTTATCAACCGGAAAGGGCAAATATATCAGTAATTCATGTTAGGAAAGAAGTAGAGCAAATATCTTTTTTTTTTTTAAATCAGGAAAATACACAACAATGAATTGTGTCCTAGAGTTAGCATAGTTTCTAAAACGAGAGGGACTTTTCAGAAAGCCCCAGAATGTCCATGCTTTTTGATTTTTTCCACAGCACATCCAACTCTTTGCATTTCTAAACAGCTAAACAAGACACTGTTGTGTGGGCATTAAAAGACAGAAAACTGACTTGATAAATGCACCGTTGGTGAAAATGACAGACAGAAAATCAACTCTGACTATAGAAGCAGAGGGTATGAAGTCCACTGTCCTCTCTCTGCACGCAACAACCTTGTCAAAGCAGCAGGGGAAAGGAGTTCTCTGCAAACCCAGCTGTGAAGTGTGTGTTTTTGCAGGATAGTGGTGGGGGTGGGCCTCTTTTCACAGAAGAGCTGTGAAGATTGAGATATATCGTGCTCACCTAGAGCTGTAGGGTCATGTGACAGAGGTGTTGTTTGTTCTGGAACTAGAGCAGACTCCAGGTTAACGGATTGGTTTACAATAATGGTCATTTAAGGTATATACTGTGTGTGTGTATATGTATATATATATTTGTTTTTAAACTATATACAGTATATATACTTTATGTATATATACATATATATATATAAAGAGTCTGTTGCTTATCTTCATAAAGCTAAACAATAAATTAGCTGTTAAGCTAACAGACATAGCCAAATGCCAGACCAGTATTTCTTTAAATTAGGTTGGGGAAAAGAAAATGCTTAGAATCGTGTGTATAATGTGTGATTACAAAGCAATACTATCAAGGTTTGCAGTTGACAAAATCAATAAGGAACAAATGAGACGAGAAAGAGATGGAAAAATGCCAATTATATTATATTATATTATATTATATTATATTATATTATATTAGTTTCTTGGGAGGCAAAATAAATAAATAAATAACCCGCCCATGTCAGTGCAAGTCCCGCCCTCTTTCGTGGAGTTTCCATGGCAAACTGTGCCGACGTCACAAAGAGAGAAACGCCGTTTATAAGTAGAACAGGCTGAGCCGCGGCGATTCGACAGCTCGGATGTGTCCTGAGGAAGAGTGACACGTGCTGGCAAAAACATAAAAAATTACAAAAAAAAAAAAAAAGAAAAAAAATTCCCATCAAAAAGAATTTTACCCAGGAGCGCACCCAGGGGTTTTTATTTTCCCCTTATTACTCGTATTTTACTGTACATACAATTTTTATAGTGGATTTTTGTTTTTAAAAATCGTGCTTCAAGTGTGCGCGTTTGAGTGAGCATCAGCGGAACCATGGGAAGAGGAGTGAGTATAAAATGTTGTCGTTGTTTCTTTCACTCAAACAAGTGGTTTATTTCACCGTCATGAAATAAAGAAAGACGTAAAGAGACGGGCTTATTTGGCGGTTTCGTTACTCTTACCTTCTCACAAACAAAAAATGAACTAAGCCGAACTGGACTGAAGGCTATTCTTAAAGCCACCGTTAGAAGTTTCTTTGAAAAAAAGGAGATCCGGTTACATAACGGGATGTTCTTGGTAGAAAACTGTTGAAAAAAGTTTAGCATTGTGTCAGTTTGACGCTGCTGCATTTGTGGAAATACGTGGAGAAAATAACGTGTAAAGTGAATCGAATGTAGGAAACATTTTTTTCTGTTTTTCTTGCCGTAGCTGTGAATGCTGGGTATTAGAGCTGTTGCCAATGTTTGAAACTCAGCCCCACTTTTTTTTTTTACCAAGCTGGAAGATATAGCTTAACGATTTAGGACGTTGTGACTAAATGGACTTAGACTTATCTTCACCCGTTCTAGAGACATGTTAGTATTTTCATGCTCACACGTTAGTCTTTCGGTGCGGATCTGCACAGGCGTTGGAGAACATGCCATGTATGTGATGCTCTATGAAGGAATGCCTCGTTAGAAACATTTCATTGTTTTTCTTTGCCACTCTACTAATCAATCCAGTGAAAAGGCATTGCCTTAACAGTGAGGAAATTCTCACCAAAGATACGGTTTTGAACCATATACACATGCTGAAGAAAGGCTGAAGCTCAGGTTAAATTTCCACCTCCTTTATTGTTTCCCCTTCGTCATATTGTTTTAGGCACAAGCGAAAGGCAGTTGTTGTTTTTTTTGTTGTTGTCACAAACCTATAAGAAAGACTCCAGGCGTGAAATTGAACCCATGTAAGAAATATCATCGGCCGCCACACCCTGCCGTGCTGCGCAATACAAACATTTACCATAGATGCAGCTTGTAAAGGATGGAGCGCCAGATAAACAAGGAGGAAAGAAAGACGTGAGATGTGGCGGGAGATGTGAGGCAGATTGAGTCTCTCCTTTTTGCCTCATTTTCCATCACTAACGCTCATTTGCCATTATGGGAATCTCAGCTTTCTCACTCCTGCCTGTTGGCTGTTAGTGATTTCTAACTGCCTTATGTTGTAAGAGCCGTGCCCTGCCCCCATCCAGCCTCCATCCACTCCCCCACTGTGTCTTCTCTTCTTCACTGCCCCATCCAGTCTCCTTACAAAGCGTTCTGTGCTGGCAGAGACAATTTGCAGGACTTCACTTGGTAGAAATCATCGCCTGAGCCTTTCTTGTGTAAGGAGACAAAGATGGAGGGGTGAGGAGAGTATAGTTGAGATGTTGTCATACTGTAAGGCAAATAATGAGGGGAGTCTTGCAGTGGTTCTTCCAGATCTGATTACTCCGTGCAGTGATCCTTGTCATGCTCTGCATCATTTCCCCCATCACACATGCAGCATACTGCTATGAGGTGACAAAAAAAAAAAAAAAACAACACGCAAGTGAGCTAAGAAACGGCAGGAGGAGGGAGTGACTGCTTAGCTATATTAAGAGCTCTGAGCCAGGAGGCACCAGTTGCCGCATTGCTACTGTGAAACAACTTGTATCAGGGCATGATTTAGTGTAGGTAGGAGGGGTCTGGGGGCAGATCTGTCCCTGCAGATGTGAAGAAGCTGAAGTATTTATTTATGTTAGAGGTGAATTTTCCATTCCTAGTTTCTTATGCGAGTAAATAGATGTATCACATGTCCTGACTACAGTGTCCCTGCTGACTGGTTAACAAGGCAGCGCCACAGAGCAGGGACTGGGGCGACAGCTGTCAAACTCACAGGGGACTGATGGAGAAAATCCAATGTAAGTTTTTCTTAATCTCCCAGTCTCAGTCTCTCCTGTCTTGTCGTCCTTACTGGCTGGATTAAATGATTTGCAGCAGTTCATGAAAGCATATTTCATGTTGCAATGTTGTGTTCTTAGAAACGACACATTCAGTATGGGGGGGGGGGGGGGGC